CTACCTATCTATCTACCTACCTATCTATCTACCTACCTATCTATCTACCTACCTATCTATCTACCTACCTATCTATCTACCTACCTATCTATCTATCTACCTACCTACCTGAACGTATTGTACGGGTATAGTAACTATGTGCGGTCCTGATCATTGATCGCGTGTACGCGCCTGTGGACACTGTCCATACGTACATGGTACTTACTTTTGGGTACCTTATGTGTGTGAGTTGTCAGTTCGATTTTTCCTTGATCTACCGAGTAAGCTGGCTCGCAATCTTCCCTGACAGGGTCCGGGCATTGCGGACTGACATGAGCTGAGTAGGGGTTGCTTTCTCGACATTGCGTGCTGACATGCGCTGAGCAGCCTGGGGGGTTGCTTCATCTTCCAGCCTCTGCCTCTGGCGCAGCAGTACTCGTACGAGAGGCTTAGGGGGTTATCAAACCCCCTCACCCTAGTACTTCGCCCATGAAAGTGGTATATGACCCCCTCCCCCTTAGTACTTCACCCGTTAAAGTGGTATCCTCCCCCTCCCCCTCAGTACTTCATCCATGAAAGTGGTATCCTCCCCCTCCCCTCAGTACTTCATCCATGAAAGTGGTATCCTCCCCTTTAGTACTTCACCCATGAAAGTGGTGTGTGTATGGGTGGGTGTCATGACCACTCCTCGGCGCAAAGGATGCCGTCGCATGTTACCATGCCTATTGAAACGTGGAGATGAAATACAAAATTAGGACTCGAGTATTGATAGTTCGTTCGTAGCACATACAGATACAGGATACAAGACAACATAGCTTCCAGGAGAAAATCATTCATCATCACTTTCTTGAGAAAATCTCATCATCGCTTCCACGGAAGAATACATAGTAATTCATCATCGCTCCATAAGAATATAAATAGTAATTCATCATCGCTTCCGTAAGAAAATCATTCATCATCGCTTCCATAAAGAATGCCGGGATCCCCATTCAAGTGACATCTTCATACCGAGGCAACTGCTCCATCTGCTCAAAATCCGACATGGAAACCTCATAACCCAAATGTCTCTTCAGCAGCTCGTGGGTGACGAACCGCTCGGGCATGTTACCTTGAGCGTCGACGAACGAGACGTGGTGATTCACGTCACTGATGCGTTGCAGCTCATTCGCATGTCGATGATGATGCGGGCATCCATCAACACCGATGAGGAAGATGGTAACATGAGCCCACGAAAGACCCAAGAGATCCAGTTCAAACTCATCCATATCGGTGGCCTCGCCATCGAGCAGCAGAAGCAGTCGCAACATGGGTGTTTCTGGCCCGGCTTGCCATCCGTACACAGGATGATGGACCGCGGACTCGGAATGTTTTTGGAAATGCAATTCCTTGACTTTCTGCCAGCCGGTCATGACCCGCGTTCCGCCGCCGATTCGCACATTCCGCCACATTGCGTCGAGGTTCTGGTGGTTGATGGTGCCAATGTAGCTGGCTTGGCTGGAGAAGGTGGTGAGATCATAGCCGCGGAACTGGTGGTCATGGTTGGCCATGGCATCTGTGAATCGTCTGATGATGGCTTTGGCAACATCTATACATGATCAGCTTCGAGAGGAAAAAAAAAGCCACAGGCTTCCTACAGGAGACTGACCTTTGTTTTTAGGCTGTGTAGATGGAGAATAACCTGTGATAAGGTACTGGTTGTAGTTTGGACGGAGTGGGTCAAAGTCCATCGACCCGGACACATCCAACAGAATCATGGTGTCGTCGGTTGGCACTTCTGGCCGATCGTAGGCTACAAAAGGAGTTGGCATGACTTGTTTGGAATATCCGGCTGATGTGTGTTGAAGATGGCAGGTATCGTTGGCGGAATAATACTGAGGGGGTGGTTCGACTGCTGTGGCCATTCTGGCTCGGGCCATATTCATTTCAGAGATGAAATCAGGCTTCATTCTCATTCCAATGCTCCCTTCTCTGTGATTCAAGACCCAATACAATCGCTCTTCCGCAGTATCCTCGTATCCTCTCCATGTAGGAGTGATTCCCCTCCATCCTCCAGCGGCTTCAATGCTAAATTTGAGGGGATTGGAGGCTTGGTTGGCCCAGGCCACGGGGATAGGCTCGAAATAGCCGGCTCGGAGCAAGTGCAAGTATTGAATAGGATGCCGAGCTCGAAGGTCCGCGATCTTCGAGGTCATGCCTACCTTCTCCTGGTAGACTGCAACAATGGCTCGCCATTCGTCATCGGGCCACCTTCCATTCTCTTCGGCCAAAATGGCATTCCGTAAATTACGGCCTTGGTCAATTGTTTTCCCTGTTTTTGCCACGGCTTTCTCTTCGGAAGATTTGAGTCCAATGGATTTTCGAAAGCTCGAAAGTTTGGATGGTTTGCCGCGCGTCACTTCGCCGCCAGTAGCAGAGGGTAGGGCAAGACTGGATGGAGGCTCGGCTGACTTTTCGTCGGGCCTATTGACCGATTTCTTTGTGTCGTTGGCGGCGGCGACGCTCAATTGCGACATTCTGGCGTCTAGAGCGCCATCATCCCAGATATTGATTCTTGGCTCTCTGGCATCGATCTTGGCTTGTGCCTCGACATTCAGGCTGTTGTTGAGGGCAATGGTTTGATGAATTGACTGGGCATGATATTTTGGGCTAGGTCGCTGCACTCCCCAGGCAGATTGGTAGTAGCCGTACGGCGACACCACACGCAGCCTATAGGGGTTACTACTGAACAATCCGGAGGATCGGTAATTGTCGTTGTAAGCCTTTTCTCCTATCCACATAAAGGTCTCATGTCAGGTCGCTTCAAAAGGGTCAGGAAGTGATAAGCCTACCAGGATACATGACGGCTTTTGACCAGATGTCCTGCACTCCGGATCGGTTCCACTTCATTCTCTGGTAATGGTGGATGGGACAGCCACAATAGTAATCCGCCTCATGCTCCGGCTCGATCTCGCTATTATAGATACCGTACTGCATCTGAAGGGTTTGTAGAGCATTTTGCATTTGTTGCTGGCCCTGAAGTCAGCCAAGGTGGTATACAAAAGGGGGTGGAAGCAGCCAAGGTGGTATGCAAAAAGGGTGGAAGCAGCCAAGGTGGTATGCTAAAAGGGGTGGAGCCTCCTGAGCAGGAGGTACACTGCCTGGTGGTGTGAGTAGGGTGGAAGGACAACGTACCTCATCTCTGGCACGAAGATGTGCCGCTTCGATGACTTGGTTTGTATGGCGGTGAGTGGCCGTTACCCTGCTCGTACTGCCCGCACTACTCTGAGGCGGCGGATATGATGGCGGTGCGTACAGCGGGGGTTGAGTGTCGCCAGGCCCAGCTTGCTTTTGTTCCTGATAAGCGGTGGGAGCATGGTGCTCTGAAGGCGATGGACCATCTCCCTGATGAGCGGTGGGATCATGGTGCTCTGAAGGCGATGGACCATCTCCTTCTTGCAAGTCCTTTGCAAAGTGCCAATCATGGTGTTCATCCTTTGTAGTCGAGGACATTTCTTGACGGCAGCGAGGGCAGACGTATCGATCCGAGGGATTCTCAGAAGCGACCGTCTTGTCGTTCATGTCTGCGCTGTAGCCGTAGCCGTAGCCGTCTTTCTGTCCCGAAACGTCGTCACTTTGTTTCGAGTTCATGTTGGCAGGACTTTGTTTGCGATGATATTAGGAGCCTGACCGTCGATCATGCTGTATATGAACCCGGGCAACGAAGGAGGAATTGTGGCGAAGTATGCGTATAAGACGGAATGATGCCTACTAGGACGTCAACTTGAGGCTGTGTAATGTCGACTACGTCAGCACTAGTTGAGTCAATAACCCTAACCCTAACCCTAATACCAACCCTAACCCTAAGGCTCTCATTATGCCGGGCCAAGATTTTCTAGAGCCGGAACCTCCCGATCCGGCAAGAGAGCCGACTCCAAGTTCTGGCTGAAAGCTGAAAGGCGAATCTTTCACAGTTGAACAACAGCCACTCACCTACGACCAACTCCCCTGAATCTCACACACTTGCCGCCCCAAGAGGGTACGAACCTCTGAGTTGAGCGCACAAACCCCTCTCCGCGGTTCTCTCAGATTCAGATTACATCTCGTTCCATGGCATCCACAGTCGCTGTTGGCGTCGGCATCGCTGCCGCAGCTTTCTTCGTACGTGCGCGATTGGGATTGTTTTTGTTTTTCAAAGCCTCACGATGGCTCTGTTCTGACATGACTAACCTGTTCTTTTCTAGGGTCGCGCCGGTCTCGTCGCCTTCCGTCGGTGGCGCAATCCCAACGGTCTCAATGCCCTCGGCCGGCCATTTTACAAAGGCGGCTTCGAATCGAAAATGAACAAGCGAGAAGCGACTTTGATTCTCGACCTGAGCGAACGGACGCTCTCCAAAGAAAAGATCCGAAAGCATCACAGGGCCCTGATGCTCGCAAACCATCCCGACCGAGGCGGTAGCCCGTACCTGGCGAGTAAAGTCAATGAAGCAAAGGAGTTACTGGAACGGGGCGGTTGAGATGGATGATCATGTTGGAAAAATAAAATCGGCAGTTACGGTTGAGGAGACGAGGCTTACGAGGAGCCCCATCCCCTGCGGTCATTGGCTGCTGTTGCATCTTCACGGTATAACATAGCGCTGGCGTTGAAGGGTCCGGGTTGTACGTTTTCTAGAAGGCGGGAAACATCCGCTCATATACTGGGGAGGTGTTCGTCAAGCGACTCACTTTGATGGCGAAAGGCACTTGGAACTTGTACAAAACGCATCTCCACTCGAAGACGGTGGACACTTGTACATTCAGCAGAGAGGCAGAACGGCCGCCGAACACTGCGATTTGGGGCTTCCACCTATATGAAGACGAATCAATGCAGTTCAAATTCGTGGCAGACAACGAATGTCCAAGATGTGACATTGTGTTATATTCAAGATTATATCAGCAGAGATCCTTCAGCCTTGCTTGCAAGCAGGGCGCCAATAGCTCCTGCAAGAAATGCACATTCCACAGCTCTTTCAGATACTTGTAACATGTTTCAGGCACATGACATGTAATCTAGCCTTGGGTCTTTTCGCACCGCTCAAAGAAGTCTTCCAGGAAGCGATTGAAGCTCTGCTCTTCTTCCCAGCCCAGCACATGCCCTGCCCCATCCCACACTTTAACGGTGACACCCTCGCCCAACTCCTCCTTCAGCAACTCGGCGTGGTGGAACGTGATCATCCGATCATGCGTGCCATGCAGCACGGCGATGCGCTCCCTGCCGACGCTGTCGGCGAGCTGGCGCAACTGCCGGGCGGTCTTGTGGTGCCAGCCGGCGGCAATGGCCTGCAGCACGAAGCCCTTTTTCGTGAAGCCCTCGGAGTCGCTGCGCTTGGCGAGTTCTCCCGCGGCAAAGCGGTCGCGGTTGGTAGGGTAATTCAAGCCCGAATCGGCCGGCTGCTCGGTGTCCGGGAGCTGGAGGAAGGCGTCGGAAAACAGCCGGTGCGAAATCTCGTCCAGCTGCACGTTTATGTCGCGTGGGATGAACATGTTGATCCGCTGGCGTAGGTTCTCGATGAACGGGATCGTCCGCACCAGTCGTGGCGCTGTCGACACCAGGCTCAGCGACGCAACGGACTCCGGGATCAGCAGCCCGAGTTCTTGCGCGATCATCCCGCCCATGCTCACACCGATGATGTGCAGGTTGCGTTGTCGAGGCCCCGAGGAGGCCGGTGACGGTGACGGTGACGGTGACAACTCTCCACAGGGCAGCCATCCAATTTGCTGCAGAAGCTCGGCCGTGTCTTTGGCCATCTCTGACGTCGAGTACCGGCACGTGGGCTTGTTGCTGAGCCCCATCCCGCGGTTGTCGAAGACTAGACTCGAATACCGCTGTGCTCTTTCGTGGCCGAAGTATTTCGTCTGTCGCTTCCATGCCGTCAAATAGGCTCCGAGACCCATGATCCACTAAATGAAAGACCAGCTATCAGAGAAGCAGTTCGAAGAGTATGGTGTAGACCCCAGCTGACAGATGGACAAGGGACTGCTTCTTCGTCCGGACGTGTTCTATGCTGGACAACGTGCTGTTGGTCTCACGACCGTAATGCAACGCAACAAAATAAACCAAAAATGACCGGTCCGAACTCAACTCTAGAGCCGGAGGGGATATCAATTCCCCTTGAAGTCCAGTCCAGTCCAGCATTTGCTTTGTTGGGCAGACACAACATCAACCTGGCGCTGGGGACCCTAACGCTCAGAAGGTCCGCTTGCACCAGAGAGCACGCGCCCGGATATCAATATCACAAGGGGATCTCCAAACTGATCTTCGCCACGACTTCGATGCACAAAATAACATAACTTTGGGTTGGAGAAACTCACCACCAGCTTGACGTCTCCTGATCCATGGATTTCGTAGTGAAGCTTAAACGGGCCGCCCGGCCGTCCCTTGGCGACTTCGGATTCCCCCTGCTTCGTAGGGGGCAAGTCCCATTCTCTAGTTTGGAAGGCTGGGTGGGCGACAACCTCTTTCGCTGTGAGCGGCATCCCTGCTGATGACCTGGATGGTTTGACGAGTCCACAGTATCCGATAATGATGGTGATGGTCTGGCGGGTGAGTCCCAGTTGGACAAGGTTCCTCCAGATGCGAGATATGCCCCGTGATTGTGGGAGAACGGGGAGAACGAGGCTGTAAAAAGAGAGGTTCGGTGTATCTCGAAGACCTAGATGCCTGAGTGTCGTATATCAGGTACCGCGTACTCCGTACACGACGACGATATTGTCTATTCTCGTACTCCGTATAGCCCTTCGTACCTCGGTAGGCATGTGTTACGTAGTACGGATACATACGTTATCGAGGCAGAAACACCGCTAGCCGTTTCTGGTAGCTTTCCCATCACCTCTATTGGGCACCAAGTGACAAGCGAGGTGTCTTCCTCTCCTCACCCATCGTCGCCTGTCAAGTGCGTGTCCATATCAGACAAAAAGGTCACTCAGAGAAACTTCAATACTAGCAACCCTGAAGCTCAAGCCAATTAATTGGTAGGCAGCCATGATCCATAAGTACCGACTTCCTCCGAGGTATCTGTAGTAAGTAAGAGGGGTTACACTGGCGAGACCATCGACAGGGCCGGATGAGACAGCCTTACAGTGGCTATCGCAGATCGGATGTACAACTTACCTACCAGTGCTCGTATTGCCGATGAGGTCCATTTAGGAGGCCTCTAAATCGGCTCTACCCGAGCTTCGTCTGATCAACCTTCCCGAGGGCGCTGGTCCCTTACTCGTACCCTGGTACGTTTGGAGAACTAACGCTCGGATCTTCGTACCCTGATCAGCGCAACGTGAGTGATGCGGAGCTCGCGGAGACGGCCAAGCCTAGCATGACGGTCCATCAACGCTACACAAAGGTAAATCATGTCGATCGAAATGGCGGGGGTGTCAGGCATGTCAAGTATTATAGGAAGGACCCCGAATGGAGGAAGAAAGTAGGAATCCAAGCATGTTTTTCACCAGAACTTCATTATTGGTTCATCAACGACCCAAAATCTCGAAGGGGTGGACTATCAATCAGGCTCGGGAAACCTGGCAAGAAACCAACGGGCATAGAGCTTTGGTTTCCCAACTGTGACATGGACGTGCTTTCCTACTCATGACCATGCCGCAAGATGAACCCAACCGGCTGGCCTGTCATGAATGGCCCCTTCAATCAATCAAAATCGAAATCGTGAAGATAATGTTAGAATGCATCCTGCTCAACGCAAAGTCCAGGACAGTCCCACTCGCTTTAACCTCGTCGACTTCATATGTGAGTGAGTCAACTCCTCGGTGCTTTCAGGCTCTGTCCGCGGAGCACGGAAACGTGTACAGGTGTGTTTTCTTCTTTTTCTCCCCGTGGAGTCCAGTATAAATCTCGCAGCCCTGCTCGCTTTGACCCCGTGAACCTCGTATACGACGGGCAGACGTCCGGATTGTGGGTAGGTTCCTGGGGAGGAATCAACTTTCCCACGATCACTTTGACAACTCTGCGTGTCTCGCCCCAGGGTGTTCATAATATCGGCTGACTCATCGTGGCTTGAGACACTGGTCGCAGGACACAGGTTTTCGTTTCAGATTTTCTTGTCACCAAGAAAAAAGTACAGTAAATGGTGTAACTCCTCCAAAAATGCTGCCAAACGAGTGTAGGAAATAGTGTCGTTGAAAGGAGCGGATCGATGAAATCAAGAGCTTAGCTCGCTTTGACCCACGAGGCCTATTCTTCCATGCTGAACATCTCTTCATCGTCCATCTCAACTTCTCTGATATCGTTGCTCCCGCGGGAATTGCGCTCGTCAGATAGGTTCTGCGTCAAAGTGGGAGGATGCATCTGCAACAAAGGATTATATACGGTGGTCAATGTACTGTCCGAAGACTTGCTATTGAACGACTGGTACTGTTGGGGTAGTGGTGGTACAGGAGGGACGTCGGCACCTAAAAAGGTGGGTTTCGTGCGAGGGGTACCGCTGTTGAAAGTGAGGCCTGCTGTGGCTGCTGCAAGAGTGCCGTCATCGGTCCCGGATGTACTGGGGCGGAAGTCGACTCCGGAAAATCTATGAGGCGGCAATCCAGGCGACAGGATGCTCTCGGCATACGAACTGGATGGAATGGATCGATAGGAGCGGGAGAAGCCATTGCTGCCGATGCTAAATCGTTTGGAGTCCGGGACCGGGTACGCCGCTTCGCTCATAGGAGGTGGCGTCGTTTCAACCGAGCTGACCTCGTCCTGCAACTCGAACGAGGAAAACGCTGGAGATGCAGATGAACCTTCACTGGCATCATTTACGGACGTCTCCAGATCAGATTGGCCCATTGCCATGTTCTCCGTAGTCATGTTACACAGAACCGAAGCCGCTTCAAGAAGTTGAACTTGCTGATGCTTGGAAATGAGTAGTTTGGAGGTGATGGCCCACGCCGGGTCATGCTCCCACCTAAATTACGCATCAGCACAAGAACGCAGTAATCATCCTGACAGGACCAAGACATACAAATGCTTGGTCAGGCAGCTGCTATGTTTGTATCCCTTTCCGCAAGTATCGCACCGCAGGTCCGAGCCCGATTTCTTTCCGTCGCCTTTGGTCAGAAACGAGCCCTCACTTGCCCTCCTGTTTCGGTCTTTGGTGCTCAGTCTCTTGGACGATGAGGGTAGGTCATCATCGTTGGAATTGTCCTCGAGAGCATCGTTGTCCTGACCGGAGGCAGCACTGGGGGGACCATTGAAGTACGAGTGCATGCTGGGCCTGGCACTCATCGAGTGTGACTCCGTAATCTTTCTCGAACCAATGCTTCTCCTGTGAGCTTGTAATGGTGTGACGGACGCGCCTCCCTGTTCCCTCAATGCGGCCACGATGGCTGCCTGGGCGGTCGAGGACGAGGCGGCGGCGTTGACGCTTTTGCGACGGTTGACTCGATGGGTAGGGTTGGAGGCAGCCAAGGAGACGGAGTGGGAATGCTGTCTCGACGAGGCAGGAGTGTGTCTGGAAAAGCTGCCCGAGATAGGACGAGAAGTTGGTTGTTCCTTTGTTTAGAACTAGAGTCAGCACGGGCATCGCGGCCGGAATGGGGCGCGATCTCGACTGACCTTTGAGGATGCCATGATGAAGGATTTGTGCAGGAATTGCAGACGACTCTCGAGTTCAAAACCCACGGCAGTCTTGAGACTTGAGAGCCGTCAGGAGATGGCAGCCACAGGGACAGGTGTTGTGTGCGGCAGCGGGGTGCAGAGTTCCGAGCGACCGAGACAGCAAATCGCGCCGGCACGCTGATGATTAGCCCAATGGACGAGCAATCGATCAGGGACAATGGCCGCGGCTGAGAACGATCGATGGACTGTTCAATTGGAAAAGATGAATCAGGTTCGGTACGGTCGAGACAAATGTTTGGAGTGAGGAGGAAGGAAGTCGGGGCCTGTGTGCACGGCGTGGGCGTGGTAGTGGTAGTGTGGGAGTGTGGAATGGTGGAATTTAGTGGGTTTCGGTGTCCTCGCGCCGGTTGGATCCTCACGCGCACTTTGGATTGTGGCTGTGGAGATGGCGAAGAAGGGGATAGATACCGTCTCTGTCCCCGTATCTGGCACCCGTAAAGTTAGGCCGTAGATAGCTGCTGAGTTCGAGTATGGTTTACGGGTTGGCAGCAGACCAACGCTTAAGCTTACGGTTGTGTTATGACCTTGCTTGGGATGGGCGTGGATGGATCTGCTGATCGTGCCCGATGGCCGTCCTCTCGGGGCTAAACCTCTGATTTCTACCCAGCACTCGCCGCCCGGCCACTACTACCACGGTACCCTTTGGCCCTCTCTCCCTCTGCTTGGCTGCCAGGGTGAGCGGTTCCTTGCTTCTGCTGGCTGCGAGGTCACCCGTGCCTGGGCCTACCATTGCTACCTAGGCGTTACAGGAAATTAATATCTGACTCAACTCGATTCAGCTCGGTATCCTTGCGGCCGGTTCACTGGCAGCGGCTTCGACGGCACGCAGGGGACGGGCGGCTGAAGAAATTGTTCTTGACTCCTCCTTCCACAATGTGCGCACGCGCTCGCAACCTACGGACCGACGAAGAAAGCTGAGGATCATGAATGATGCAACGGGTCTAAACAAGTATTGCAGACCCGAAAAAAAGTGAGGAGCAAGATAACGCCATATAACAACTTTCCGGCCAAGTGACAGGGTGGCTCAAGTATGGGTCATGGGCTATTAGGGCTATCGGTAAGGGTGGCTGTCCCAAAGCATGGACATGGTCATGGGCCAGTCTAACCCTGGGCTAAGCAAGTACCACTGGCGTTGCCTCCAAAACGCCATCAGACAAGACGACAGCCTGTTGCGTACCTGACTAAAAGTCGACAGGCTCGAAGCGCCAAACGCATGTTGCCAATCCCTCCTGAGACAGCGACTAATAACAACCCCTGTCCCCATCACGGCCTGAATGATGCCTAATGCCTAATGCCTAATGCCTGGCCGCGCCGATTCTATTCAAGAGCACGTCCGTGCAGTGTAGGTATGCCGGGACGAGACAGCCACAAGCCGAGACAATGGGGATCAGGCCTCGTACAGTACAGTACAGTCCGGGCGTAAGGAGAGATGCGCATACCCGGCAGGTGCCCGAGGAGCTGGAGGGGCCACGGGCTCTCCAGGCAAAAATATGTGGCCATGCCCGCGCAGGCAGTGGGCCGGGCATTAGCTATTCGGTGCGCAAATCACCATGCGCCGACCGACCCCGCCACCCGAAGCGACCTAAAAGGTGTCGATTGGTATAGGTCGTGTCTGAGGACTGAGGACTGTGGACCACACTGCCTGATTGGCAGATAGGAGAAAGAGGAGCAGTGCCCGGTAGTGTGTTCACTTGCAACGAAGCACCAACAGGCGCGTCGCCCGCCTCAGTTCCCATGTGGAGTTGAACAAGCATATCATATCTCGTGTGCCGGGAGAAACTGGTGGCCTCTAAGCCATCATCGATACCGCCACCAGACTGTTCTGTCCCGTATGCAAACAGGTGCAGCGGGTACGGGGGCTGCCACACACTTGTGACCGGCCAGGTCGCCTGCTGATTGCGCGAGACCACGAAATCACGCGCCTTTCCAGCCCGCGATGCCGTCATCGGCTCACTTGGTGGGCGTTGGCTCCTCCGGGTGACTCTCTGGCGGAGTCGCGTTGTCCCGCCTATTGGATCAGGATTCAGTTGTGCTCGAGGCCAGCGCCGTCACTATCAGTGGCCTCATGGGGCTTCGTCATCGGCTGAGGCGAGAGCGCAACAGAGGGGGCTCCTAAGGCCACGGAAGCCCCGTGGCCGAACACGATGATGTGTGGGAGAGCTCAGGCCTCAGTACCGCAGCATTGTGGACGATCTGACGAAGCAAGCCAGGGACCAGGGAGTCAGGGACCAGGGACCAGGTTTGGTGCCAGGGCCAACAACAATACTGTCTTTGGTTTTTTTTTCTTTCCCCTCTTCCGTTTTCTGGGGGTTTGGCAACGCTCATCCGACACCCGTTGACAATCAATGCTGATCTTCCATAAATATCCGATTTGATCGACACACTTTGCAGAATAAGTATCACCACCGGCACTATAGGTTACCATTTCGGAGAATTCTAGCTGATTGTGCTCAACGATGAGAGAAACTGCGCACAAAGTCGTACCTTGCCAACTGCTCGACCGCGGCTCCTTCCCCTCTCCCCCAGACAGTCTAGAGTCTAGAGTGTGCGACTATCCGTACAAGCCAACCTTGAACCGACCAGTTCAGCATCAAGCTAAACGGCGGGGCAGTAGGCGACCCGCGGTTGGCGTAGATTCCCCCAGTTTTCCAAGCATTTAGTTTGCCGCAATCTTGCCTGGTTACAGACCTTCTGCAAGGCAATTCTTTTCATCATCTTGTCGCCCGAAGTTGCGCACCTGTACCGAGACTCTGAGACGATCACAACGCATATTGCAGGTATACGGAGCCCTGGGCGCCTCTAGTCCGAGATCGGACGGGTGAGGGCTTACTACTTAGGCACTGCTGAGCAGACCCAAGGCCTAAGGCTCCAGTTACTTGAGCTAAGCTATCAGCCGCGGGTAGATAACGTTCTCACAATGCGGTGGCAACGCGGTGGTGGGTGGTGGTGGGTTGTTGGTTATTAGTAATGACTAGGGCTTGGAGGCCACCCCTGCGACACAGCTGTTGGCGTGAGTGAGAAACACGAGGACGGAGTGCTATACAGATACAGACATGTGGCCAGACAACGCTGGGGAATAGCAGAGCAGAACACGGAACACAACAAATATAGCCACGTACGAGTACATACCCGTACAAGGACCCCCTGACTGCGCATCACACTTCACACATCACACACTCACACACTCACACATCAGGCTCGACATGCTCACCTCACCCCTACGGAGTTCGCAGCGGTCGCGATTGGGAGAAAACCCCGAAAGCTAGTGGCTTGTCTCTAAACGACCATGTTGAACCTACCTCCCATGGCGTTGCTATAGTTGCTGCACAGCGTGAGCTTGGTATTTCTTTCATTTCCTTTTTTCTGTGGCTTGCGCATGGCGCCTCGCTCGGACCCTCTGCATATCTGTCTGCCTCTGCTGCTTCCGGCACCACGGACCTGGGATCCAGGCCGCAGAGCTGGGACACATCCGCGGGATCCTCAGCCTCAAAGATCGTCCTCTTCCAGAGCGCATTTTCTGCTGCTTGCTGCTTACTGCGTGATGCTGCCATCGCTTTGACGTACTCTGTACTCTGTACTCTTTGACATCGTCTCTCGCACTGGCGTGGACCGGTTATGCCACGATACCCTCCCCCTTCCCCGCGGAGAGATTTCTGATCCCACGTCCAACGCCAGTGCACATGCGGTCGTCGGTTTAGCCACCGCCGTAGAGAAAGAGCTGGAAGCAGAACACAACCCAGCCGAACGACATCCCAGAGAGTCGATTGACATCGAGTCTTCAGAGGCTCAATTACAGTCATGTCTTCTCAACAGTCGTGGGCAGCGTGGCTGCTTGATTCCTATGCTTCGTCTGTGTCGCCGGTGACATCCGACTTTCCCTATCGTCATGGCGACACTGCTGCAGCTGCAACATCCGAGTCCTCGCACCCCGGCTCTTCCGCTCAAAGTGCAACGTCGTTGGGATCCAATCCGTCGCCATACGGGCCCTACGTGCGCACCGGTCGAGGCGGCGCCGGCAATTTCACCTGGCAAACGGAGCTCAAGCCCCAAAGGTCGTCGTCTCGCCTGGACCTCGAGTTGCAAGCAGCACCGCAAACTTCTCTGAGCGAACGGCGCAAGGCAGCTGCTAGACTGGAACACATCAATACACAAGAGGTGGTGCGCATGAGACAGAGCTCGGCGCAATATCTCTCGATCGGCCGCGGCGGCGCCGGGAACTATGCGGCCTCCAACTATGAAATAGGCCAGGCAAAGAGGAGCCCGAGTCTTCCCATCAGCCTCAACTCCGCCAAGGCTGGCAGCCCGTCAACGTCAAGCCAGTCCTCGCTTCATGCTGGACGAGGCGGAGCCGGCAATTACGCCGCCGCGGCCGAGTTCAATGGACGGTTGAGGAGCGAAAGCGAAGACGAAGAGCGACGCGCCGCCGAGCTGCGACGAGAGCAGATTGTCGAAGAGGTGGACGGCCTGCTTCAGCCTCCTCCGGGAGCGTGGCTGGGCACTGGCCGGAGAAGGAGCGAAGCTGCATATGAGGATGTGTGAGACATCAAGGGTCGGGTTAGGGTGGGTTGGATCGGGTCACAGTAGGTTGTGTCGGGGTCGAGTTCACGTTCATGATAGAGCACGGCGCCTACGCAAACCCACCAAACACGACGGAAGATGTCTAAGATTTGAGTCTGCCCTCATCAGTCGCATTCGCAAAAACTCACACACCAGAGAAATGCATTACCAGATTCGAGCGCATTTCTTCCGACAGACGGACGGCCTTAGGCCCCAAACAAGTCTGACTCCACGACCCGGCCTTGCGAAATCAGGGGTGTATACATCCCGTATCGCAAACCTCGTGGTCGGCGTCTTACCTCATTACTCCACGACGACGAGAACAGCGTTGATTTACTCCGCCTCGCCTTCTGTAACTCTGATATCGATCGATGCTGTTTACCAGGTGCCGCCGATCATCACATTGACATCGGCACACTCTGATATCGATTCGATGCTGTTGACCAGGTGCCGCTGACATCGACATCGACACTGACACTGACACTGACACTGACGCCGACGCCGACGCCGCCTGCTTAAGGGGCCATCTGCAATTGCCGCGAGCATAGCAACGAGCATAGTGACTGTCTAATCAGCCACACACCGACTGCTTATGGGGCCATCTGCAATCGCCATGAGCATAGTGGCTGTCTAATCAGCCACACTACTTTGAAATACAAGTCGCCATGACGGATCCCACTTTAAAGTACAAGTCGCCATGACGGATTCCACTTTGATATACAAGTCGCCATGACACATCCCAAGCTGTCGAGTGTGGCGCCGGCGGATTCTCGCCAAACAGCTTGGTAGACGCGTGCCTAAACACCAGCGAGGAAGTGTCGTGTACTATGCGATACAGGACACTTGGGCAGCTGAGCACGAGAGACCACAATACGAATATATCACGCATGCGGTGCTAGGGGTACTAGGAGAGCGGAGCGGGCGGAGAGTATCCAAGCAGAATACATTCAAGCGTGGCTCGACCACTATTGCTCTTCTTTGAAGGGGATAATGTTAGGGTTACGGTTACGGTTAAGCTTGACTCGACTCGACTCGACTCGACCTATCGAAAGGGCTTCGTGCAGAACATCTCCTCTTTTCGACTCCATTCTCTGATCTGTTCTCAACGCCGTCGCGTCGCCTATGGTCGCACTGCCTATGGTATCGCTGCCTATGGTCGCGCTGCCTATGGTCTCGAGTTCAAGCAAGGGGTCTGAGACCTTGGCTTGGAGGAGCCTGAGACCTTGGAAGAATCTGAGACCTTGGAGGAGTCTGAGACTTTGGAGGAGCTGAGACCTTGGAGGAGTCTAAGATCTTGGAGGAGTCTGAGACCTTGGCTGGCATGGTACCCTACCCTACCAGTGCGAGACTAGTAGGAGCAAGGAAAGAGATCACTCTACACTAACACTGTGGAGGGCAACTATGTAGATGGCGGTGGTGGTAGTGGCAGTGGTAGTGGTCTTGGTGGTAGGGATGGATGGCCTTATCCCTTCTGAATCTCCCTTTGGGGATTAATTATGAAAGCATGTCAGTTGGGTGCGGGTGGGAGCCTAGTACATGGGTATGTATATACTACTCTGTGGAAAGGATGTATACGGAGTATCGGATGTATGTTCAGCCTTGTCTGTCTCTGTCTCTATCTCTATCAATCTCTGTGTCTGTGTCTGTCTTAGCCCTTAGTAAGACCTTGGGCTCAGACTATTCCTTAAGACCGTTACACCGTTGCGTTGTGGCTACGCTTGGGCGGTACTGTACTACACCTACCTAATACCTTACCTATATACCTTCCTGTAGGTAGTCACAATATAGAGTAAGGTGGGTAGTCGTTTCAGCTGACTTGGTATTCCGTACGCATATATATACATACACACATACAACATTCGTCGAGACCTTTCTCGCTATACTACTGACTTACTACCTACCAGTGCCCCCGCCCCCATGTTCTCTTTCTTTCTTGAACTGGCCTGTTGTCTCTCAATGTACCTTCCTGGCTGACCGGGACAGCCGGTTTCCCGTTTCCCGTTTCCCGTTTCCTCTGGCTTGCCCTCCCTGTCCCCGGCCCCGTCCGTCCTGTCCAGCCAGTCCGGTTCATCTATCACCTGTTGGAGTTGTTGAGGGTTCGAGGGCGGTGAGATCGGATGGGATCGGATCGTTAGCTGAAGATTTTGTCAAAGTACTTGACGAACGCGTTTCTAAAGGAGAGTTCCGACAGTTAGTAAATGCCCAGATTTGTCATTTGTCGTTTGCCGTTTCATGTCATTCTATTGCATTCCACTCCGGCCTTTTCGTCATATCATTTCCTTTTCTTGTCAAGTTGAGACTGAGAGGATGGTGAAGTGGAAGTGGATGAGTAGATGAAGTAGAGTGTCAACTAGACTAGAAGACCAAGTAGAGCGTGAAAGACTAGAAGACCAAGTAGAGCGTGAAAGAGCAGAAGACCAAGTAGAGCGTGAAAGACTAGAACATCAAGTAGAACTGTGTGCCATCTGTTACAGCGAAGGAGCGACAAGAAGACAACAGACAACAGACAACAGACAACAGACAACAGACAACAGACAACAGACAACAGACAACAGACAACAGACAACAGACA